GATTCCTAGTTGAGTTAAAAATGGCAACCGAGTTAGAAACGAGACAAACCATTTTGAGTTTATAAATGATCCGGCCTTAAGTACACGTAAAATTGCTAAAAAATTAAAGATTGCACTATTCGACAGTTTGCAGGGTTTTAATCGATACAAATAAGTTACGAGAAAACCAGGGAGCGGGGGTTAGCATGGTCAAAGTGATAAAAACAGTGCTCGGAAGGTCCTCAGTGCGTTTTCGCGAAATNTTTTTCATTTGAATTTGATTCCTAGTTGAGTTAAAAATGGCAACCGAGTTAGAAACGAGACAAACCATTTTGAGTTTATAAATGATCCGGCCTTAAGTACACGTAAAATTGCTAAAAAATTAAAGATTGCACTATTCGACAGTTTGCAGGGTTTTAATCGATACAAATAAGTTACGAGAAAACCAGGGAGCGGGGGTTAGCATGGTCAAAGTGATAAAAACAGTGCTCGGAAGGTCCTCAGTGCGTTTTCGCGAAATCCGAAGATTTTGTCGCGTTATGTTGTAAAACCCGTACGCAGATCGCAGTTTTTCGTACAAAAGGTAAAGCGGAAAGCTTCATTGAGATGTTCTACAGCTCAAACAGCGCCAGACCGAGGCGCAAAGTAGAATGTTACAGCGAAATCCCGCATTCGGAAGTTGTATGAATTCTAAATTAAAAAATACAACTGCATTGTTATGGACTGCGAAGCCTACTGCTATAAAAATTCAAAATATATTGCAGGTCAAGATTTTTATACTGGTGCAAGTCGTCAAGATGCCCCTGAAAATTGTAAGCTGAAAATGAAGTCCAAATTTCCAAAAACCACATGGTTTGGCAAGCTATTTGTTCCTGCGGCCGTAAGAGCAGCCCTTTTTTCCCATCCGGGACAATGAATGATCAAGTTTATCGGGATGAGTGCCTCAAAAGGCGTCTTCTGTCATTTATCAACAGATAAGGAGTAGGCCACTGTTCTAGGCGGACGTGGGAACCTGCCACTATGCCAAGGACACATTGCCGTGGTATAATGCAAATAACATCAATTTTGTACCTCACGACTGCAATCCACCCAATAGCCCAGATCCACGTCCTATTGGGGAATATTGGTCAATTGTCAAAGAAATCTTGCAGAAAACAGGTGAAACAGTGAAAAATATTGAAGAGTGCAAAACAAAGTAGTTGTGCGCATCGCGTAAAGTCGATGATGCAGTCGTGCAGAACATGATGGCGCGTGTGCGATGAAAATACCGATCACTTGCATATGGAGCAAATAATAACTAATATTTTAACATTTTAATAACATCTAAACTTCCAAGTTATATAATACAAAAAAAAAAAAAATTTCAAAGCCTTCTAGTTTGTTTTTGGTAGTAATTTCTAAGTGTCGCAGTTTTGGTGTGTTCATCCTTTAGAACCCGAGAACAACGTAATAAGAAAGATGAATTAATCCTCAAGGTGGCGCAGGTGTCGATATTTGAAAATCCCGTTTTTATGGTCCGATTTTTTGATGACATCGTTGTTTTGTCAGTATCGTTTGAACGACTATCGTTTCAAAGTTATGTGATTCATGCCCTGTTGGTTGTGCTTCCTTACTAATATTATAAATCCGAAAGTGAGTTTGTTCCTTTGTTACGGTTTCACGCTTTAACTACTCCACCGATCATCATGAAATTTAGTGCACTGATGTCATTTAGTTCAACTTAAAATATAGGATAGATTTCATCTCGAGTGTACAAGGGGGCGTAGCACCTCTCATACAAAGGAATTTTTCACACTGCATATCGTAGGAAATATTTGCGATACTGGAACTTGGTATGGAGTTATTTGAAATCATATTAAAAAATTGATGATAAAGTTGTGGCTTGAAAATATTTTGAAAGGGGATGCCACCTGTTTGAAAAGTCAAATTCAAATGAATTATTCGCAAGCTATGTATCTGAATAATTAAAATATGGGTGTCAAACGAAAAATTGTTAAGAAACTATTTGTTTCAATATTTTGAATATAATTGAGGCGTTTTACTGGGGTTGCCACCCGATTAAAAATTAAATTCAAATAATTTAAATGAATTACTTCAATATGGGTGTCAATCGAAATGTTTTTGAAAAGGGTTTTAGTTTTAAACTATATGAAGGACTCAATAGTCCTAGTGGCAATCCACCTGTTTTGAAATAATTCTACTTTAATTAAGGGAATTACATAATTGAAATATGTATCACAATACGGGTGTCAGACCAAATAGGTTTAATAAGATTTTAGTTGGAAAATATTTTGGAGAGGGTTGCCAACTGTTTTGAAAGTCGAACTTAAATTAATTATACTCAATTTACAGTGTCAAACGTAAGAGTGTTTAGAATTGTTCAGCTTGGACATGAATCTTCTGAGGTGTTTGAAGAGGGCTACCACCTGTTTTAAAACTAAATTCAAATATGTGCAATTATATTATAAGTTAAATGAGTTATTAGAATATAAGCCACAAATACTATATAGCAAGGATTACACATATTTGACAATTAAAATTTAACTTGAAGAATATGTATTACAATATGAGTGTCAGATGAAGGAGCTTTAAAAAGGTTGCCAACTGTTAAGAAAGTTAAATTCAAACTATTCAATAATTTCAATGAAGTATTACAAGAGGTGTATCAATCGAAATGGTTAAAAAAAAAGTTTAAAAACACCCGCGTTTGGCGTAGTTTAAGTAATGTAGCACGTAGAAATTACATACACTCAGCGAAGCGGGTGATGGCGATCCAGTTTTTTTATAAAAAAAACTAGCAAAAGCTAACCTTTGTTTGAATTATCTGCTTAACTTTCTCTGTGACATACTAGTACTACAAACTTTGCGAATTCCCATTGAGATGGCAAATATTTGTGCCAGAGGATAAATTCCACGAGCATACTACTTTTAATACGGCGAACCTCAAAAAAGCGTAACCTATTAATTAACAAATGTATATCACCATATTCGTTTTTATAATTTAAGTGAGCAAATATATGATGAATTATTATATGAAGACCCATTTGTATCAGACACTCAGTGTGATGATGAAGTGCGAATAGCCTCATTAAAACCAGCAATTGATACTGAACGGTGTGGTAAAGGAACTCAAACCGCTATTGAAGCATCGCCACCAGAGAAACGTCGAAAAGGTAGTTAATCCTAATAAGTTACTGTATGACTTTAGTGAATAGATACATTATTAAATACATACTATAATGTATGCATGTTTTTGCTTTTTTTTAGAAATGAAACATGAGCCTTTGGTTCTTGACAGTCCCGAAGAAAGCCAGGTAAGAGCAAACTATAAAACTAATAATTTGTTTAATTTCACTGGACTTGTAATTAATTTAATACATTTTTAGCTGCCTGGAGGTTCAGGCTGCAAGTCGATTTCATTCAAGTTAGATCGAACTAAGAGCAAAGGTAGCAAATCAACAAAACTTACGGAAATTTCCATGTTGTTTCCTTTATCAACGCATGAAAAAGTATGTGAAGTTGAGGAGAGTCTTAAGGACCCTGATTACGCTGAGAAAATTGTAAGAGTCTTTAGCTTACAATTAAGATTTACAAAATAACAGATTATGTGTTTTATTTTTCATGAAAATCAGCGTGGACATCTGAATGTAATGAAAGACTATAAAGGTGAGATCGAAAAAGTACTACGTTGCATTTTCAAAGATAATATCATCGCAGATTATAATTTGGAGGGTATTAAAGGGAGACGCTCATTTCGGAATCTACAACTCATTTCAGATTGCCTTTATAGTAAGTAAATGTTTTAATAATTTTGAATGTGTCACAACTCAAAAACAGGATTTTGAGCTAAGGATGTAGAATTAATGTTATAATTCACACTTAAATTAAATAAAATCCAGAATAGTTCCCGCGTGAGAAAGAATATACATCTCCACTTTCTGCGTGGTGAGAGTAAATTGTAAACTTTGAAGGCTTTTAGAAAATAGCGTTTTTTTGAGATGTGACATTATTTTAGCAAAGGAGCTTATCCTTTTTAAAACTTAACATTCAATTCAAAACAAATGTTATTGGCGAAATCGACACCTATGTATATGTATATATATTTTTCTTCAGGTGTATTTCCAGAAATCACGATGTTTGACTTCTCGAAAGAATTGCGCAGGTATATCTATATGAGTCACAACAGATATAAGCAAAAAAAATTAAAATCTAAACGTCATTTGTTCTAAGTTCTGAGAAATACTTCGTAATTAAGTTTCGAACATAATTCAATAATAAATAATTATAATAATAATTATTGAATCATGAGTTTCAAATACTTTTATTATTATTTAGTGTAAAATAAAATAGAAACCTCCAGATACGTACATATGTATTTCTGTATCAACATTGTGGAAAGTTATGTTGATTAAATTGTTTTACTGCTCGGTGGACTGTGACACGACACGACATCCGGCTCTGTGTAATCGGGACAACCCAGCCTATTACACCAAATACACGAACAGGTAAGGCTATAACTCCATGTTAGAGTTGCAACGCTTTTAAAAAGTTTGCTATAATTCATCTGGAAATTTAAAATTGACTCCAGGGCCTGGACTATGAAAAATGTTTACACTTAGGAAGATACAAAAATGGGAGGACATTTCGATGGCACAGTGACAGATATTGGGTAATCAGATATACTAGTAGGTCTATTGTGGCCCCAGCTTATCAAAACAGCTTAACTAGCCTCTCAGAGACGCTATAAATTTCAGAATCGATCCCTGGAGAAGAGAGTGTACGTGTTCCTCGTTGGTGTTGTAACAGCATACAAGCTCCCCATTCTTTAGCTAGATATACTTACATATGTACATAAATATGGGTCGTTCTAGTTACGTAGACCCGCCTGTCGTGGGAGCGTACGTGTTCCTCTCTTCACCATAAGTGCATAGGACTCCTCTCCTTCCTGCGTGCACCGGCCTCGCACTTCAGAAGGAGGTGTAATGGAGTCTCCTGGGCAGCGTCACAAAAGCGACATACAGACTTCCCGTAATGATCCTTAGTTTGTCCTTAGGGAGACCCACGAGTAGCCTATATCTGTTCAGATTGTCCACTTTCTTTATGGTGTTGGGACTTACTGCAAATAAAAGGCTCAGGTCNGCTGCTCCGCCTCCTAATTTCCCTCGATTCACATGTGTCCAGGTATCCATAACAATTGGGTATTATTATCCTCTGAAAGAGCATCAGGGCTCTACACATTCCAAAATCAAATATGACCTGACCTCGAAGGATGAGAGAGACTTAAGAGCCGCCTGACAATCGCTTGCAATTCTAGGCTGCGGCCAAGACTACCATTACTGTCAGTATCTGGTGGCGTCCTGTGTAAGAATCTCGGTACTGCAGAAATAATTAAATTTTTTTATTCAGCGCTCCACACGCTCTGGGCCTCTCACAGGAGATGTTCCAAATTTCTTATTACTGTTGTGATTGAGGCCCCTAACTTGGCTCCTGTAAGTCCACGGCTCCTGTATTAGTAGAATTTCCCGGTCCTCCGTGGCAACCCTGGTAGCATTGCCCGCAGAAGCGACCAAAGCATGGTGCAGGTTGACTTGAGCTACTGCTAAGTCCTAGGGTACTCATAATTGGGTCTCGTCGTCGATATCCGCAAAGAATTTTTGGGGGCGCTCGCAGGAGCTGGTTCCTGAGGGCGAGCGGGTTGCTGGTTGGATGGTAGGATTGTATTCGACGCAGTCGCTAGAGCAGCAGAGGAGTCAACTGCCGCGTCGATTTGCATGTCTGCCACTCTGACTCCTTGCTGCCTATCTCTTGGTGTGAAAATGGTAGTAGAAAAGTACTCAATTAGTAGTGAAATTCCTTTAGTAAATTCTAATGTATTTGCAGGAAATCTGGCATTTTAAACGAAATATTGAACGTAATATTGATATATCTATGTGAGTTACGTTATTTATGTGCTATTTAGCTGTATAATAACTGCAAAAAGACTCAAAATTAAAATAAAACTACTACAAGATTGATGTAAACATCCAATTTAAAAACAATTTATGTTTTTATCAGTTAAATATGCTTCATATGCATATACAAATAAGCATATTGCACAAAAGCTTATACTTCTATTTCACACCAAGGCTACACTTTTTCCAAGCAAATTTGCAAAGAAGCAACACCGTGCCGGTGCTAAGGGAGCGGTGCGAGAGAGACAACTGTCAGTTTATCGAACCTTGTATTATTGAATCATGCATTTAATGACCAATTTGTAATGTAGTAACCAATACATGAAACGGACAAAATATCAATATTTAGACAAACCCTTAGCGGAAAAGGACTCATTAATAGAGCCGAAAATGTTAAATATTTCATTAAATATTTGTGTAATAAATGGGGTATTTATGAAAAAAAACATCGATAGTGACAGAAAAACATCGTTTGTTTGGTTGGAAGGGGAAGGGGTGAAATGGAAAACATCGATACTATCGATAGTACCATCGATTGTTTTCCAGTTCTACCTCAATCAGGTATGGAATTCCAAAATTTCAAAATGTCCTAATGGAATGCAAAAATAGTGCCAAAAAGGAGATGAAAGTGGCCCAAAATTGAAATCGCTTTCTTTTGAGGCTTTTTAAGAACCACATACATATGTTTTTTTAGAAATAGTATTTTTAATGACTTTATTGAATTATTAGAGTAAGATCCTTGTAAAATAACACAATATTCCAATTACCAAAGGGAAAAACACTGAAATATAGCTACTCGGACCTGTTTAAACTAATACACATCTATGGGCGAAATAATAGCAGTGCGACATTTTGACCAGATTTGACTATTCTTCTTTACATTGAATAATTTTTATTAATTTTATATAATGACCCTTAAGCGAAGCGCACATTAGTGCGATTCCATCGTTGCGAATACGTTGTGAATTCGGCTGTTAACTTCGAATCCGAAACGTGCGCACACTTGAGCGATTTTTTCGCGTCGATTTCCGATGCACAATTCACTCAATTTTCCCTTTATTTCGTGTATTTTCGCACTCGGCGTGCCCAAATCGTACAAAATACTATTATTACGAACGTTTTTATTAGTTTTTGTACATTACACGTTTTGTTTTCTTTGCCTTTATTGCTGTGACACCTTTCTTCTTCTTCTTTGACGCCTTCAAAACGCTGCAAGCCGCGTTTCGAACGCGTCAATAGAGAGGAACATTGAATGTTCGAAAAATTCGCAGCGACGGAATCGTGCAAGTGTGCGCTAGCGCATTAAAATGTATGGGTAGCATTGTTGTAATTTTTGGGCTTGCGGATTCGCAACGACAGAATCGCGCCAATGTGCGCTTCGCTTTAATGCGCTAGCGCACACTTGCACGATTCCGTCGCTGCGAATTTTTCGAAAATTCAATGTTCGTCTCTATTGACGCGTTCGAAACGCGGCTTGCAGCGTTTTGAAGGCGTCAAAGAAGAAGAAGAAAGGTGTCACAGCAATAAAGGCAAAGAAAAAAAAACGTGTAATGTACAAAAACTAATAAAAACGTTCGTAATAATAGTATTTTGTACGATTTGGGCACGCCGAGTGCGAAAATACACGAAATAAAGGGAAAATTGAGTGAATTATACATCGGAAATCGACGCGAAAAAATCGCTCAAGTGTGCGCACGTTTGCGGTTTCGAAGTTAACAGCCGAATTCGCAACGTATTCGCAACGAAGGAATCGCGCTAATGTGCGCTTCGCTTTATTTTAATTTTCACTTTTCGAGTCTATGTCGAATATATGAATGTTTGTTATATACTGGCTAAATTTATAAAATTTATGATTGTGCCGAAACTGAATGAATTTGGCCAAAAGTGCCCCTGAGAATGAAAGAGCCAAAAATGTCACTATGTGCCTACTTTTCCTTCACTGACCTCAATCCTAGTAGCAAAATCGATGTTTGCACGTTATCAGCGATTTTCGTCGAGTATTTCTAGTTGACCATATTTAACATTTGCACTATTGTACAAAATTTCGCTTATTTTCATAGTTTACTCCAATTAATCAGAGAAAATCACTAAAAACGTAAAAGTCGCACGTTTGCTAACTGTGAAAATAATGGCTTCATACCAATGTCGCACCTGCCGTGAGGCAAATGTTGGCAATTTCTATTCACTATCAGATCTTTTGGATGAGGAGCGCTACCCCAAGAAGACACTTGCAGACTTTCTTTGGGATGTCGCAAAAATCAATGTAACTAAAAAGTTTCTGCTTCCAACCCGTATTGAGTGAATATAATTTATTTTAGAATAAGTCGGAAGAGGCCCAGCGTTTGCCCCAACATATATGTGGAGGCTGTTCACGCAAGCTAAAAAATGCATATGCATTTGTGGTACAAGCGCAGATTGCCAACAAAAAGCACTTCGCTAGCTTGTATATAGAAAATATCTCGGCTAATGTTGAGAAAGAATTGGGTGGAAATCATAACGATTGTCTGTTGGAGGCCCCTATTGATATACCCTTGGGACAACCGGAAATTAAGAAGGAATCTGATTTCCATGAGGAAGATGATGGAGGTGGTACAGAGAATTTAGCCGATGTCAACAAAGAGGCAGGAAACCGTGCAGATGATGTTGGTCAGTTGGTAAAAGAAGAAGTGCACATAGAGGCGGATGCAGAAAGTATCAGCTCAGGTGCGGTGCCATTCTTAATATTAATTTTGTTTAGTTACTTAAACTTACGTATGCAACAGATGACAGCACAGGGATCGATCCTATAAATACTGTGGAAACTAGTTGGAATATTGATAATACAGAAAATGATTTTGAAAATCAGAGGGTTCTAAAAAGTGACAAGGAGGAGTAATTTACGTAAGGCATATCTTAAAACTTTGTTATTACACCATTTTTTGTTTTTAGTGAGACTCCACCAGTGAAACGACGTCGTGGTAGACCTCAAACTACTTTAACATTAGACTATACTTATCGCGAAGAAGACGCCCGATATCACTGTAATAAATGTGAGAAAAGCTTCGCTTGGAAAAAAGATGCAGGGCGACATATGAAAATACATTTAGGTATTTTTCCGTATGAATGCGAAAAGTGTAATCAGCGTTTCCAGCGAAAAGATAAATTTGACAAACACATGAAGGTACATTCAAAAAACTCCACTGGCAATACTACAGGTAAAAATGCTATATTTTAGATCAAAGTTTAGAAATGCAAAATAAATTGATTTCTCAATCAGAAGATGGCAAGGAAGTCGTTGAATCAACCTTGCAACAGAAAAGAGACGAGGAAGACACCGAGACTAGTGATGATCAGAGCGATGAAGATAGCGACTTACCGAGACGCCGCCGTGCTAGACCCCTTTCCACAAAAAAATTGGAATTCACATTTTCCAATGATGATGGGCGTTATCACTGTAATAGGTGTAACAAAGACTTTGCTTGGAAGAAAGATGTTGAACGTCATATAAAAAGTCATTTTGGTATTTTCCCATACGAGTGTAAACAATGTAACCATCGTTTCCAGCGAAAAGATAAGTTCGCCGACCACTTGAAGACCCATTCAAAACCAGAGGCTGCAGTCAAACGTTCACGGCCAACAGTGCGGGCAGAGTGGAACTTCGCAGAACGCCTTTACACAGAGCAGCGTTTCCGTTCGGTTGAATGCAAACTCTGCACTGACGCTATTCCGAACATTGAAGCTTTAAGGCAGCACTTGCAAACACATAATCAACCAGATTCTTTGCGCTTAAATATTGAGGGTGAAGTAGTTCAAGAACTTTTTCCTAATTCTAATGGTGATATTGGTAAAATTAAAGCACAAATATGCAAAGACATCAAGGATCAGCGCTACGCAAAATATTACGCAATTATTAATGCATACGGTTACGAAATGGCTCTTAGCGATTCTGATTCAGAACCTAATCCAAATGAAACGAAATACGAATGTGAACTGTGTCATGCCAAGTTTTCACGCAAGCATCAACTATTCCAGCATTCAAAAACGGAACACGCACAAGAGAAACTGCCGCATAAATGCAACGTTTGCAAGTTAGAATTCGTCAGTGCTACCATGTATGAATTGCATGCACGGACCCAGTGCAGAAGTCGAGATAAAAAGTACCAATGCCTTAAATGTCCTGGCAAATTTGTGTGGCTACAGAACTTACAAGGACATAATTGCTCTAATCGTCTCAATGTCTACGTGCCCAAATGGCCAGATAAGCGCAAACGACATCTATTGCAGTGCAATTTTTGCGATAAAACTTTCCGTTATGCTACAGATTTGAAACGACATCAAGAGACACATAACTTAAACAGTCGCTCGCATGTGTGCGCTATTTGCAGCCAACCTTTCTTGAAGGCAGAAAATTTGCGACAACATCTGCGTCAGGCGCACGAGCAGATAAAACGTCGAATTGAATGCTGCTTATGTACAGAAAAACCGAAAACACTCGCTCAACTCCGGACCCACTTGTCACAGCATTCGGATGGTTGGACTGGCATTCGTTATACGGAGGCAAAGTATTTTAAGGTACATTGGCCGCAAGGTTGCCGCGGAAAAGAAGGAGAGGTCGAGCAGAGTATTTTAATTGATTTTGCTGGACAAAATTTAACTAACTACTATTCAGCTATGGATGAGAGTGGTAACGAGTTAGATTTGTACGACTCTGAGACTGATTTGGACTTGGAATCAGGCACTTCGACCAGTGAGCCACTTTCGTCTATCTCTTACACTTGCGACCTGTGCGGTCAGGTATTTTTCAGGAGAAAACGCATACTCCAACATCAACATAGTGCACATGCTGAGGAGAAGCAACCATTTCCACATTCTTGTACGCGTTGTGATAAACGATTCATTTGCGCGGGCTTATTGGAACAGCATTATAAGCGCGACTGTGGCAACATATATAAGCGTTTTGATTGCCAGCGTTGCTCAGCCCGTTTTGTGTGGGAGGAAAATCTCCAACACCACATGCAACGCCAACACATTGATCCGGAGCAGCAGATAAGTCGACAGCTAGCCAATAAACTCCAATGTGACCAATGCAACAAAGTTTTTGTTTGGCCAAAGGATCTTACACGACACAAGCGCATACATATGCCCGACGATGAGAAGTTTGAGTGTCTATACTGTGAACGAAAATTCTATAGAAAGGACCATTTGCAAATTCACTTGAAAACGCATGGCGCTGGCGGTAGCATGGCAGCCGCAACTACGACCGCCATTGCTAGCAAACGGGAGCTTAATCGGAAGGTGAATGGTAAGAAGTATCAGTTGAATAAATGCATATATGTGTATATATTATGAAAATTCAACTATTTTGTTATTATATGATTTAGCGGTCGATCCGCATCTATGCCAACCGAACGGCTTGAAATGCGTCCAATGCAAAATATGCTTGTCCAAGCATACCAAAATAGCCGATTTACGCATACATCTCTTAGAGCATCAAAGTAATGTCTCTTTAACACAACATGTTACAACAAATTCGGAGTTATCTTTACTTTTCTATCCCGATGAGGCACCGATGTCTAAGGAGCTGTTAATGGCATGCATGAAAGCTGATATAAATGCCGGTCAATTAGATCGATTTTATTCGATCACCAATGAATTGGGCCATGAGTTGAGCATTAGCGGTTCTGATACTGATGATACAGATTCGGACTCCGAACCTGATGAATCATTAGATAACGCAACGGGATACAATGTTCGCCATCCGAGACGTTCAACGTACAATTGCGATTTATGTAAATTAACTTTTTCGCGAAAGTACAAATTGTTTGCTCATCAAGCTAATAATCATAGTTGGGAAGAGGCACCACATGTTTGCCAACATTGTCAAGCGCACTTCTTATGCGACAAGCTCTTACAGTCGCATTACCGTCACCAATGCAAAAACTTGCTTAAGCGTTACGTGTGCCGCAAATGCCCGCAACGCTTTATGTGGAAGGAAAATCTAAAAATGCATTTGCGTTCAATGCATCCGGACAGCGAGGAAGTGAAGAAGGTATGATCGATGAGCTCCTTAAATTTGGTTTATTCATTTCACTTTTCTATTATGCAAGGTGTTTGCACCCAGTTCCTTCGATTGTGAGGAATGTTCCAGAAGTTTTCAGATGCAGAAGGACCTAACACGCCACAAGTTGACACATCGCCCTGATGCTACCGTTTTTCCTTGCCTCTGGTGTCCACGCAAATTTTTTAGAAGAAGCAATTTATATCTGCATATCAAGCGACATGGCATATTATCGCATCAATTGAGCGCTGCGGCCTCTCACATTACAGCTAGTAAAGGACCAAATGGAAAGAAGCAAATCCAGTGTCGAGTATGTAATATACAGTTCAATAGCTTGTCTACTCTACGCGAGCATATTCGACAAGAGGCGTCGGCTTTGCTATCTACGCACCCAAATTATAATTCCCAGCAAAATTATTCGATTATGAATGAGTTAGGTTACGAATTGGATATCGATGATTCGGACACAGATGAAGAAGCCCAGCCACCTAAGGCATACAAGTGCCAAATGTGTGGGTTGGTTTGCAAGAGACGATATGAGATGGGACAACATCAACTATCGATGCACAAACACGAACACATAACACTCCAATGTGAGAAGTGCGTTTTCAGAACTGTTTCGAGTGTAAGTAAGAAGTTCATTGCAGTTCGGTCCCTACTTCACACAACATTTCCAATTTAAAATTTACAGGATATCATGGAGCATCATTTACGCACACAATGCAATAACACCGAAAAACTACATCAGTGCACACAGTGTTCGTACAGGTTCATGTGGCCCGAGAATTTGGATATTCACGTGAAGTTGGTGCATCCACAACCGTTGGATGAAGGCCAGACCACTGTAGCCGTTATAGACGAGCCTATCCCTTCGGGACGTATTGAACCCGTCCCGCCGCAAGAATTCCATTGTGATAAGTGCGAACGTAGATACAATCGTAAAGATCGACTTTTTGCGCATATAAAAAAGATGCATGGCCCGGAAAGTGATGGTCCCAGTTGCAGCAAAAATGTATCTACAAATATGCCAACAAATACCAAAAAAGCCACACCGAAAGAAAAAAAGTTTCTCTGTGCATTTTGTGGCCGCGCAGTGAGCTCATCGTCAAACTTGATAGTACACATGCGACGACACACTGGCGAGAAGCCATTTCAATGTGAGTTCTGTGACAAGGCTTTTCCGCGATCCTCCGATTTGTCTTGTCATCGACGAACGCACACAGGCGAAAAACCACATCGTTGCACCGTTTGCAACAAATCATTTTCACGCTCATACAAGCTGCAGACCCATATGCGTATACATTCTGGCGAAAGGCCATATAAGTGTACCTTCTGTGAGAAGAGTTTTACGCAATCCAATGATCTAGCACTGCATGTGCGCCGTCATACCGGTGAACGGCCATATGAGTGCAATGTGTGCGGTGAGGGCTTTATTCAAGGAACGGCTTTAAAGAATCACCGTACAATTACAGGGCATTTCAAACCAGCCGAAATGCCGGATATGTCGATGGACGAAGAACAGCCAAGTAATTTGTTACAATTGGATGAACAGGGTAACATTTTAATACAGTTGTAAGAGCAGGAGTTTAAGTTAACCGCGCAGATATATAAAAAAAATCGTCTCGATGATGATAATAGTATGATTGTGGTTGCTCACGCTCGCCTGGTTATCAGGTTATCTGGTTAAAAATAATTTTTTCTGTAGTGTATTTTATTGTTGTACAACATCATGCTTGCCTGGTTATCAACAAAATACACTACAGAAAAATTAGTTTTAACAAGATAACCTCTTAACCAGGCAAGCGTGAACAACCATAATGTAATTTTAATACTAAGTGCATTTTTTTGCAACCGAGCTACAAAAGGACACTCGCCTAACAGGCCTATTCTGCGTTGGTAATACAAATTTTGTTACCGGTTAGTATAGTTACTGTCAATTTTTAAACCCTTTTCATATTCTCCACACTCTTGTAACCGGCAAATTTTGTTACCATCTCATGAGCAGGTAACAAAATATTGCCCCGTGAAATATGCAACACCAGAATTTCAACAAAGCTCCATAGCTGAATTGCTGAATAAATTAAAACGTTACCAAGGTAAATGGAATTGCGGTTTCAAGAAGTGGTGACAATTGTTGGTAACAAAATTAGCTTGTTACAAAATGTTCGGTTACAAGCAGAATAGCCCAGTAAATGACGAAATACACGCAAAGCAACAACACAAACTCGGCTATTTATCCGAGCTCAGCCATTGGAGCTATTCTCAAACGAGTTAGCGACAAATATCGTATTGCTATCTCAACCTTGCGGCATTCATAACACACGTCGGCAACTTGCGATAGCGATTCGAAAACTGTCGCTAATAGGGAATTCACATGAGGCGATTTTTCAGGCAACTTTTAGTTGAAAGCAACAATCGCCTGGTGTAAGCGGCCTTTAAACTAATCGCTTTAAATAAAGCTGGTCGGCTGCCTACTTTCGTTCAACTTTTGATTCAACTATTCGCCTGTGAAAGTTGAATCATGTGAATTCCCTAGATGGAGAATAGCCACACAGGTCGGTTAAAAAATCCGCGACCTGAAGCGTAGTGTTAAGTGAAAAATTCATTGTTTACTTCTTACAACAAAGATGGCGTCGCGATTTGGGCAGCTAGAAAATAACTTTTTTCGTTCTTTCCTTCCCGCGTGATCTTGTGTCTTTCGTTCATGGAAAAAATTGATCTTTGTGAATTGTTAATGGGAAAGTGGAGAGGGTGGCGAATATATATTACGCAAATACCTCTCATAATTACCCATTTAAATAGGTTTTTGTATTTAAATCCCGGTAAACTAATTAAATGTTTCTTACCAGCTACCAACAGAGTTGCATAAGTACCTAAAAGAAAATTTTATCTGAGTTGAGCGTTCTTTTTTCGCTCGCTTACAAAAAAAAATGCAGCTACTAAATTTTTAAATTTATTCTGAACATAAATTAACTATGTACAATTATTATGTATTGGTGTATAAATAAAAGTTTAAATATCCTTCAGACTTGAGGAAAGTATGAAATTGATTTCCGACTTTTTGGGTCCTCTCAACTTGATCGCATATTTTGTGAAAAATTCATTGCCATCGGTTATGCTAATTCCAGTCTTCAAATGCTTTACAACACTGAAAAAAGTAATGGTGAATACACCCTTACTTAAAAAGAAGAATTAACTCATTCTATTGCCAAGTGAGAAATTCGAAAAATTCGTTATATCTTTGTGATTCAGTCGTATTTTGTTGGATATTTCATTATATTTTTATTAATTATAACGTGCAAGGTAATAATTGCAAATATAGTACGTGCATGCAATGAGTAACCCGGCCTTATCGGCTTCCGAGAGTGATGCTTCAGAATGCGCCGACAATTCATTTTGCATATTTTTGCATTTGGTCGAAGGTGAGTTCAGTGAACACAAAAAGTGGAAGTTGTTTTAATCCTCAGATATATATTCCATCTCTTGTAAGGCATTGGTTTGCATCGACGTGATGGTATTGGCGATTTTGCCGAGCGTCACAAGGATAAGGTTATCCTTACAGCAACGCTAAATGGTGTAAAGTTCGAGGTGGAAGGTCACTCCACGGAGACTGTGACCATCTTTAACAGCAATTGCGTTTGGGAATGCGAATTGAGTGATATTAAACGGTATGTTTATTAAAGATTAGTGTTGGCATTTTATTGAAGGTTGTATTGTATGTAGTATGAAAACCGACAATCGGCCAGTGAAAGTTGAGATATTTATCAAGAGTGGTCGAACGGAAACTTCCCCTCGTCGCGGCATTGGTTCTTTGTTACTTCCTATTAGAGGAGTTCCAGTAGTCGCGGCTTTAAAAAATCTACAAGTAAGGATATTAATTCACTCAATCATAACAACGCACTTTTTATACATTTATTTAGTTAAAGCTACATTGGCATAAACTTAATGTGATGAGTTCGGAATGGCGGCAAAATAAACCAGAAATTTATTTACTTCTGGTGATAGTCAAAAAGAATCTTATTGAAAATGGACAATTTGACGTATTAATGGGCAAAGTAAATCTAAATGTTGAATATTCAACAAATAGTTAATAATTAAAGTTTTTTGTTGCAGAAGAAATGCGTGCTAAATGATGGACTTTCTCCGAAGTCCTCCGAGACATCACTTATGTTGCAATCGCAAAGTAATGTATATGTACAGCTTTTGGAACAAGTGGGTCTCATACAAGTGGGCAACAACCCTGACGTTGATTGCGACATCTTCAACGTGTCATTAACTTTTAAACAAGTGAAGAATCTAATGAAAGTATTGGAGACGGAACAGAGCTACAACCGCAAAACTAATGTGTTTGTTTTTCACTATGACTTCCTGGGAAGTGCTTCTCAACTAGAAATGGTCGTGAATCAGTCTGATTGCTACACCATCAATGAAAAAATATCCCTTAGCTTCAAGTCGTCCTTGAAGAGCTTACGCACTTATTTTCAACGAATTTTTTATATACCAATAAGTGTTTATATAAATGGCGCTGTGGTGGGTGAGTCCGTTTTTTACGAATCAAGTTAAATCATCTATAATAACAATTAATTTTTAAGCAAAAAACAAAACCGACTTCAAATTTATGATTATCGTTAATTTCTTCATCATCCAATGATCGGAGTTAAACCTAATTAGTATGAGACCACGTCTAAGATAATACATTTTCTTTAAAAAAGAATTATCGCAATTGGTTGACGTGGTCCAAAGTTATGATAACCTTTTCCTTTTTGTGGAGTCGGTTAAAAATGAAAATGATTAGAGGGAGTGAAAAAAAACGGAAAATATTAATGAATAAAAGGATATCTTCTTATTATTGCTGTATGTATGTAGATATGTATGCTTAAAGTACACAACCGCGTATCAACAAAATGCAAAACCGCGTATGTGAGGTTGCATAAATCATTTTCTAGAGAGTAAAAGCACTCATATTTCAAAATAGTTCTCTTTTTTATAAAGCAATCGCATTTCTGGCTAGTATATTTCAGGACGAATGGATAAGGATTGAGGTAAGAGCTTGGTGAGCAAATCCAATTTTTGCCAGCAAACGCGGTTTTGCAGAATGACTTTGTACTTTAAACGACGCTATACATATATGTATCTATGAACTTCAAGAAATCTTAGTTAATTTGTGTGGTTAAAAAAATACATACATATGTATATGAATATGTTTATTTATCGTTTTCGGAATAAGCAACCAACTGAATAATTACTAATTTATTTTTTCTTTCCTTGTTACATAGCAAATTATCGATTGGATTTCTCAAGGCTCTTACCCGACGATTCATTTTTCAACGCGACTAATGTTTTTAGTAAAAACGGTACATTTTATTTCGATCGCATAAATAAGATAATAAGCCCGCGTGCTACAAAGCCTTCGGTGGATTTTATATTTTGTGTGCAACTCGTAACAAGCTACTCCAAAAAGTCCAGTTACGACCTAGTGCCGATGAGTGAGGCATATGCATCGTATAAGATCGACGATAAGGGTTCTGTCGATATAACAGAACGCTATCGAAACTTGGATTTCCCCACTACAATGCAACAAATGCGGGCCCCTTATGATGTTGGCCAAATAAGCAATCGTAATTTCAGTAACTATGAAATTTATGAACGTAATTATATGAAAATGCAGGCCGACGCTGTTATAATTGGACACGTCTTGGAACAAAATGGGGAATTATTTGGTCAACCAACAGAAGATCTTTCAAAGTGTTCGATCACGGGCAAGGATGATAGCAAAGATTCCTTAACAAGTCGTCAAAGCAAGGCAAACGTTGTCACCTGTTATGATAAGCAGGTTTTCCATTCGAAAGAAAGTGTTATAAATGATGAACTGTCAAGCAAAGAGACTCGATCCGTCGGAGTAAATACCGACCCATTGGATATAGATCCCGAGGAAATGACAATAAAAATAGTTCAAGAGCTGGAAGATTGGAAGGCACAGCAGATGGAACACTTCATTCGAGGTTTGGAGCAAAAAGAAATCGGCTACTTGGCTGAGCTCGATAAACAATGGGAGCAACAACGTTCAATTTTGCAAGCTAGATTAGAAGCAAAGTTGTCCGAATGCGAGAAACTAAATGCGAAGCTTGAACTGGCCCATGCGGAATTAAATGCGAATGCTCTTAAACATCAAGAGACCATTAGTATAGTGCAGACCGTGAAGCAAGACATAGAACGAAGTTATGCGGAGAAATTTCAGCAGTTAGATGACGAGATGCAACGCCTTAAACATGAAATACAGCAGCGGGCGACAGAAAGCGCAGAACGCGATGTAGAACAAACACAGCAGCAGACACAAGCGGCGGAAGCCAATGACTTAGAGTTAGAAGAGAAGCTACAAATGAAGATGCGTATCGAACAGTTGGAAAAGCAATTGGCGGCCATGGAGAAGACACATTTCTCCGCCGAGCAACTGGCGTGCATGTTGGCTGATTTGGTAAGCTGTTTGGCATGTAATATTCTTTGCTTTTTTGTCTAGTTTGGATATAAGCATTCAGGTAAAATAATTTATTTCGTACAGCACAAACAAACAGAACGTTTTGCAGATATCGAAAAAGCCAAGAACTTCTATAAAGTACAGTGGTCAAAATCAACAAAAGAGTTGCACAAGTTAAAACTGAATTTATTGAAACAACAAGGGAAAGCATTGGAAGAGAAAAAGGATGAAAATATTGAGTGAGTTTAGCATCGATTGCAGTTTAAATTCGGTTTGTGCTTGAATATTTAATTTTTTTTTTAGTATTTGCTTGGANTGATATAATCTTATATCTTTAAACTACATACATACATATGTATGTGCAAACGTCCTTTGAAACGCAAAAGGCTAAAACTGACAATAAATCTAAAATTCACATTTCTTTTTAATGAAAATGACGCATTTCATCGAATTATAACTCCTCACTTTGTTGAATTGGTTCGTTACAGCTTTTTGTATTACAGGTCAGGACGATATGTAGTTATATCACACATTAGTTGTGCTCGCGCACAAAATAAGGCAGCGTGTCCAGTGGTGCTTTGTATGCCATCAACCATTTGGGGCCTTGGTACACTACGCCTGTATTGCCATCTTTCCAATTTCCTTTAGGCAAATATATATCGCGTACAACAGCATCCTCCTCAACGACTGGTGCAGAAATGATGTCATCGCCGAGCAGGAATTCTTCAAAAAAAAACAATAGATATAGATTTAGATTAAGTAAATTTGTATTCAATCGCAAACGAACTTACGATCGTAAACGCCTTGCGCCACTTTATCGCTTGGATCAACCCACCAGAGTGGCAAATTCACAGGTTCGCCGGTTTCCGTTGCCAATTTGAAGCGCTTGATGATTTCAGGAGCGTAATCAGCATGCATTTGCACGAATTTCTTGCTTATCTCAATAGCTTCTTCATCGAAATTCCATGGCACGTACGAGAACTGCAAGCTAGGCATGAAAACATTTGCTTGCAACCAGCGCAAAAATAGTTCTTTGCTCGGTGGTTTATCGTCATAGCCATTGCCGCCAATCATGTCGGGCAACACGAATGGATAGCCATTCAAATTCATTTGCAACATTGTCGTTATGAGTGTAAGCAAGCCATTGTTCCAACCCCACTCGGAGTCCTTATCTACTATACGCACAAAAATTGGCAGATCCTGTGTATTTTGACCGGAACGCACTTCCACCATGGGACCGAAAGCACCTACGGTACGCACATAGTCGCGCGTCATTTGTGTAGGTGATAGGCTCAAGTCACCCTGCAGTACAGGATCGGAGGGCATCCAACTTGACTCGCCGGCATCGAATTTGAAACTGTCAATACCACCTTCCTCCTGCAAACTCTTCAGGCGATCGCTGAACCAAGTGCGCACCTCAGCCTTGGTAAAATCAACATAAGCAGCTTCATTCGGACCGCTATTCCACCATTGTGTATCTGGATTATTATTATGATCAAGGATCAAGTAACTAGAAGAACGCGAAATGTTTAAAATGTTATCATAATCAAAGTATAATGTTTAAAATTGTAATCCTATGCTAATAGTAGTCTGTGAATAGACCAGTACAAAGCGACTTACCCCTTATTTAACGCATCACTATAGATCGGTTCGCAATTTTTATTGATGAAGGGATGTATCCACAAAGTGACACGGAAACCTTTCGACTTCAAGTCGTCAGTCAACTGCTTCATGTCAGGAAATTTAGTTTTACGATATGACAATGCGCCATAGCAATCTTCCCAGTCGTCATCGATTTCCAGCTGGCTATTGTTGAAACCATTGCTCAAAATTTCTTCACCGAATGCGCGCACAACAGACTCATTGATATCTCTTTTATAAAGCGCCCATGTGGACCAGATCGGATGGGCAACCATGCGCTCATCAGGATATTCAGAAGGATGGCCAAGGAATTTCTTTACGACATACATATGTGCATCCTTAGCATTTGATGCTATACCAATGTGATATACAAAAGTTACTTTATCAACGCGTGAGTTGAACGGTAGCGCACTTAATGCACTGAAGCACAACTTGTTTTCATAGCCTTCGGAATTTTGTTCGACAAAGAGGGGTGTATTATCTTCGACATAGAAGAATTCACCTTTCGTATTGAGCCAATAACGCTCAGCTACGCCCATGTTCTCCAATTCTTTAGTGACATACGAGAAATTGGTCAATGTTTGCTTCTCTACTGGCCAATAATGATTCTTGTATTCTGGACCACCATACCAGTGTGCATTAGAGACATCCAGATCGAAGCAATCAATAGGCTGCGTGCCAGCCGGAACATTGCGGGAGACGCGGACATGCACGATACCAGTGCTGCTGGGAATCAAATCGAATTGAATTGTGGCATCTCCTGTACTCAGTGTAAAAGAACCAGTTTCGGTTTGTTCCAATTTATTGTTGGTGGACGTGTTTTCTAGGGTAACTGTCTGAAGTGTTTTTGAACCTAAAAAAGTGAAAGAATAATTTGGGATTTAAGTGCTTCACATAATTCGAAGTGGAATAAAAAACGAACTGTATTGCTCATATGTAAATATGTACCTTTCATAACCTGATATTGCAGTTTTGAGTTGTGGACTAAACGTAAGTAGATATCACTATTAGGAAACTTAAACCGTTGCTCAATATTTTGGCAAGATATCACTTGGAGCGGTTGAAGACACAAAGCAAGGAAAGCACATGTAAAGAAAACACTTTTATAGCACATTTTGGCGAGTTTTCAGTCTTGTTATTTTTACGCGTTAAAAGAATTTTAATTTTTAATTGCCTCTATTGTTTGTGCGGGTTATTACTGTCGCGTTAGAAGTTCAATTTTGCACTATGCTTGAATTTTCTGTTCAAACTCTATTTATACACGAAATAGCAACATGATTTCCCATAATAATAAGCTGAAGGAGAAGCTGTTGTGTAATGTTAATAAGTAAAGCTATGATAAGATACTATTTATAAGTGATTTTGGCAAACCTAATAAAGCGCTTTTTTATACAAATATAAACAACACTCTTCAAATGTAATTTTCAAGAGTGGGGTTTTTCTAGTATATTTCAAAAGTTTAATGTGACGTCTACGTGCATGATAAATGCTCCTTTCGCATTTACTTTCGCATGCACTCTTATCCCTCAGGCGAAATATGGAAAGTTTCCATGTGGAAGTAATGTAGCAACATTCCTCTTCGTTGCTTATGGATACAAAGCAGAAGTTTTCAATGGAAATTGTTTCCATTTCGATTCTTATGGACACAATGTTTTTTCATTCTCAAAGAAAGCTTGAGGAAGTTTATTGATGGATTTTTTGGAAAATGTTTCCCCCTGCATTCCATGGACAGCGAGGAGGAACCTTTCCCACTAATGTCATCGTATGTTTAAAACTAAATAAACTGTCCGAAGAAAGCCATAAAGGCATTTTTTACTTTGCTAGAGGGATATGCTTACACACAAAATAATCAAAAATATACACATTTATATATACATAAACAAATATATTTTTTCTCGTAATAGGTATTATCTCTTTTGTTTTTGCAAATTTCTAGATTGGCATTCTTCTATTCATTATATCAATTTAGAAGTGCATGGATCTATGATCGCTGAGTGAAATGTTTTAAGTGGCCACCAACGTAGAAAAATCAAATCGTGGAAATATATATTTATACATTTGTTTCATCATTAGCTGTGAAGTGTTTTGCACTACAAACGCATGATAAGAACTTCGTGGTAGTAAGTATCGTTAGTTTTTGGGAATTGTACACTAAAAAAGAAAAGATGTACGAGTAGACACAAGTCTAAATAAGAATAAAACAATTTAGTTTTAAAACTACTTACATATCGCACATTTAATAATATAGAGATGTAACTCAAAATTTACGTTTTTTGAGATTTCATTATGCATATAATAAGCTTGATAAGTAGAATATGTTCAGTTTAACATATAACCATAGTTCCCAAATATGGCGAAGATATGTGTCTTTCCATCTGTTTTTTTTTGTATACCGACTGTATGCGGGGGACGTACAGTTTTACGCCGACTCCGAACGGCGATTGTATTTTTATCAGAAGCTGTTATTCATGGCAGAATATACTCTGAGGTTTGCCATTGCCTGCCGAGGGGCGACCGTTATAAGAAAACAACTTTTTTGTTGTTGGTCGGAAACAGGGCTTGAACCCAGGCTCTGCGGAATAGTAGCGTTTACCGCTAACCACTACACCACAGCGGCTGCTAGACAATCTTTATCGACATAATAATGTCTCTCCATTTAGGACAGCCGGTTCTTCGTACCGGAATGACTCGGGTTTTACCCGAACAAGGGCTGTTGTTACCTTTTAAAAATTATTGAATCATGCGTATTTACCAGGTTGGTAATTTGTAAAGAAAATTATCGAATATATATCGATAGCTGAGTGGAAGATCGACTTATCTCGAAAGCACCATATCTAATACAATTTTTTAACAACGCTCTATCTCAAAAAAACTTTTCAAGAACGCTTTACTTTAGAATTTGTTTGAAAACCGTCCTATCACAAAATTTGGTTGAAGAACGCCCTAGGTCAGCTGCCGATTCAAAAACGCCCTATCTCAGCAAATTTTCAATGTATTTTCGTTTGTGATAGGGCGTTTTTGATTCGGATTCTCAGATAGGGCGTTATTCAACCTTATTCTGAAATAGGGCGTTTTTCAATAAAATTTTGAAGTAGAGCCGTCTGAGATAGGGCGTTTTCGAACTGGCTACCGAGATAGGTCGATCTTCCACTCAGCCATCAGTATGTAAATAAACAAATTAATTAATTAGTACCCTTTTACACTCATTCTCTTAGGTGTACATATATCAGTTGTTGCATCGGTATTGAGTTCTTTATTCACACATATTCTGGCAGATACTACTATGTATATACCTTATGTATACGGTGACCAGATTCCTGTGGCTAAAAATCGGGACATTTCTAAATCATCAAATCCGAACATAGAATTTTGTTTTTAGAATAAAAATACATAACATCTTTTAATACAGTTTGGCTTAAAACAAAAAATGGGAAAAATTTAAAAATTTTAGCAAAAATGTATACACACAATATATACGGTGGCGCGAGAATGTAAATAGGGAAAATACATTTAGCAAGTTTTCGCTACTTTTCTTTGTTTAAGAAATGTTTATAATTTTTTTTATGAAAATATATCTTATCTAAAAAAAAACATAAAAATCAAAATTTAAAACTTTGTAGAACATTTACAAAAGTTTGATCAAAACTTTAAACATTTTAATCAGATTTTCTAGAATTGTCTTGAGTATGTAGTTTTGTAGCCCATGAAATTGTAGTACAATACAGGGCAAGCTTGAAGTAGTACCCTCGATTTTTGACTATTTTATGTTCCCGCATTTTCGTCCATCCAAAGTGCTATGTTCAAAACTTCTTTGTATGGAGAAAATCAGCAACACCTTGCACAAAAAATTTACCAAAAATCAACGGTAATCATAATGTTTCTAAGAAATATAATTAAAAAGCCCAGAAATTGCTCGTTTTTGTATAAAGGTTGAAATTTTGACTTAGATGGTCTTTGTTAGATAACGAGCTACACTTTCGTAAAAAATAATAAACATTAATACTAAACATTAATTAATCGAGAGGAATAGCCAATAAAATATCTATTCCCTTTTTATATTTTCGCCACTGTATCTACAGCTTATATTTTATATATCCATGATTTTTTTTTGAAGGAATTAGTATTATTTTTTATAATGTCACTAATTCAAGTTAGAATCGTTTCATTAAAAAAAAAAAACAATCAATTAAAAAGACCTTAAAAAATTTTGACAATATAGCGAGAGCACTAGTTTGACAGAATAAAACATAACCAAAGATCATAGAAAACAAGGATGCTGGCTATGCTTATGGCTCCCTTATATTCTATGTCCCTTACGATAACGAAAGTGCTGCCACTTTTGTACGAAAAATTTGTTTTTGGGCTAGAGTAGAGGTAGACTCTTATTAAATTAATAAAAAAAAAAAACACTGAAAATCGGGACTTAATCGGTACATATATGTATATGAAAAATCGGAACACTTATGCGTCCCAACTTTTATAAAAATATTCAGCGGCACAATTTTCTCAAAATCGGTACAGTCCCGCCAATATCGGTACAAATGGTCACCGTACTTATGCATTACCTGAGTAGAATTATACGCATCAGTTGCCACGATGAACATATCCCTCTTGGAAAAAGAGAAATGCACTTGGAAGTAAAATGAAAGCGGTAAAATTGAAGCGGTCAACACGCTTTGTATGTGAATATAACTAAGATTTTTGATTTCCCATTTTTATTGCACGAGTTTTTTGTGTGTTTTTTGTTTTAACTTAAACATTTAATGCAACAAGGAACTGAAATATAAGTACTCACAAAGTTTACCTGAACATCTGTGGCATTTTGATGAAACTATTTATCCCCAGTTAGGCCAGTTTTCTTTAAAGCTAAATTTCATTGTTTTTGCAAATACCTATGTCTAGGCGTAGTTAAAGATACTGGTTCAATTAAAGCTTAATAAAAATATAAATTTTTTGTAGGCTAACTTACTGTTTTTTTTTAATCCAAAGTCAACCCTTCTAAGTTAACTTAAGTTGTTTTATCAAAAGTCCACGGATTTATCAATTGCATAATGGAGGAAGTTCGTATACATTCTAAAAGAAGTTCTACGAATAGTCTAAATATTCATTTCAAAAGAAGATTCTTGGAAGGATTCGGCGCTCATTTTATAAGTAGCTTTGTTGGATGTTTCCCTAGACTTTCTACAACCGCCGAGAGGGAATACCTCGTCCCAATGACACCATGTGTTAAAAAAAGTAACAAATATTTCTTTCATTCTGCGATATATTTTCGTCATCCATGGTGGAATGCTAGAATTTCTTAAAGGGATGCTTTTACACACATACATATGTACAAGCATTACCCCAGAAAAAAATTTATTTCTGCTTATGTAGCACCTTGTAGCATTGAGATAAACCAAACTTACACTTTTGATACCTTTCAAATTGGTTGAAAAGACATCTGCAAATGAAACATACTGACTTTTAAGTGCTTTAAGCCAAATGCATTTTAAAGTAGTTAAAATCAAATGCAGAGTCGGACATGTCTGGCTGTAGCTGGGGGTGCAGATATGCCTGCTGTTACTGGTTAGCTTCGAGAAGGTCGGGCTTCGAATTTCAACACAGACAACATGTGAAAATAATAATAAACATTTTTTGGTGTCTTGGAAATATGAAAAAGCATCTGGGAAGTGCAAGCGTATTTATAGGAAACATACTGACTCTGAAGTGCTTTAAGCCAAATGCATTTTAAAGTGGTTGAAATCAATTGCAGAGTTCGTTCCAAGGAAGAAAGTAAGATTTCAATTAGTTATGGTGGGTAAAATACTAGTTGAACATCAATATTTAAACTAGTTTCTATCCGTACTGGGTGTATAGCCACCCTGCAGGGAGTGAGGTTAGCTTATACCTAACTTTAGTCTGTTTACGCTAACTATTACCTGTATATTTTATTCGAAAAAAGCTAACTACTTTGGTGGGGCGATGGCCGCAAAAAAGTCAGAACTGGATATCTCTGCAACTAACTACTTTTCGAAATAAAACATCAATAAAACACAGTTTTATTTATTAGTTTTTTTTTTAAACTTAATTTATATTCAACATTGCATCTTTGTTTACATATTCTGCAGTAGGTGGTCCTATATTGGAATTCCGTCAGACATAACATCAAA